GTACGGATATTTGACCAAAAATCCGAAATATTCCATCGAATTGTGCAAATTATTTAATCATATAACAACCACCCATTTAATTTGGCACGTTAATAACATACTCAAGGCCTCAAAAATTACAAGAACCTATTCACAAAACTGACACATTATAACCCATAACATGTACCTAAAACCACGTTTACGTATAATGTTTTTGCATTTATTTCCAACAGAATACGCATTTTTATGTTTGTTTAATTTAATTGATTAAAAGAAGAAATAGACTCATCTGAAAATACGAGTCACTTGTATTATATAGTAAATTGATAATTTAGTTGGATTTTGTTAGGTGATTTAAATGATGAAATTAATAAAACAAGCTAGCTAGAATGCAATGTATTAGGCGCAGTTGAGAAATGGGTTGCCAGCGAAACAGTATCTAAGTTAGTACTCCTCTGATTTAGTATAGCTTTGCGTTAAAAGGGTAAGTGGTGGGAAATTTTATGTTATGGCAGGGTCTAGCTAGGAAAGAGCTGTTTAATGATAATGTGTTCTTCTTTTAGCTACAACAATCCCCATCTCTTTCGGAATCAGACCATTATATGAACACGTAAATGACATTGATATAGTATTAAAATCAATTCTAAGTTTCAATCACAATTTAACCTTTTAGTAGAGTCGGTCATTTGATATATATGATTATGTCGATCAGAACTTGTTTCTTTGATTTCGATATGGTATGACTATTAATTTACTAGATTAAGTATGTGTAGTATGCCAATCTCATATCGTACTCTTATTTATTTAGTCATGTTTATAATTCATATCTATCATCAATGAATAGACGCTATATTATGGGATGAAGGGAATACTTGTTAAAAATCTGAACTTATAGTATAAGGGAAAAAAAATGCTCTTTATATTATTAAATAGGGTTTTTGCTTACAAAATCTCTTCTTTTATTCTTATGCATACTTGTATGGCTATAATCAAGCTTACTTTTTTTTTTAAAAAAAAAAGTGTACTTTAAGTTACAAGGAACTAAGAATATGATGATGATGATTAATAATAATTCATTCAATTATTATTATAAGGTTTAAAGGATAGGTAATAGTATAATCAATTTTCCACCTAGACTTTGGTGTCAAGACAGACACTAACTCACATACTCACGTTATTCAATTATAGTTTCTTTCTGTTTCTTCGGTCCCTCGTTCAGTACACATTTTGTTTTCAATTAGGGTTCAAATTAAATTAAAACTTACCACTAAATTAGATTCTTTGATTATAATTTCAAACTCCTCGTGCAGATACCCTTGTTATTATTTTTCAATTATTTTATTGTTTTGTTGGTCTAAAATTTTTAATCAAATTTAGGACTTAATCTAAACAAAATTATAGTACCTAATCGGATTTAATTAAGGGCGGTGCCTAAAACCTACATGCTACGAAGCTTCGTATCTAGCAGCGGAAACATGATTAGAAGATATATATCTGTTGCTCTAACAAGATTAATTAAGTACAATTAATTACTAATTATAATTTATAAATATTGTATTGGCAAGTTTGTTGTTGATGTCTTAAAAGAATAGCCAAATTGGACTGTTATTAATCTTCTAATAGTACTGAATACATACATTTATAGTCCACAAATAATGGGAAGCGTACATCCAGGTACAATCATATGTTATCTTAAGCAAATATGTCATCATTGATCTTTTTCTACTACTTTTATGAGTAAACTCATTAAATGAAGCTTCGCAAAATTTCGGTCTGATTACAATTATGCTCTAATACAGGTTATATTAAGATATAGTGACATACTCTAAAGCAGGTTATATTAAGATAATGACCTAAATGAGAGTTGGGATAAATTCATTATACCACGAAAAAGAAAAAGAGAGAGCTTGACGACTAACTTATAAGTGTAGTGAGCTACTTCACCTATCACGAACCAATTAATTTTAGGATGAAATTCTACTGACTTGTATGTGCATGGCCGAGCTCTAAAACACAAGGGTTCGTTTTACCTATTTACAAAGTTGATACATGCTTGGAACATAATTCATCTTTACATATCATACAACTAATTAAACTATTGAACTTTAATGAAAATCTGGTCTTCGTTAATGTAGTATAAACTACATGCAAGTGATGCAACTGTTCATCAACTTGCATGCATGATTTGCATCTCCACGATCTCAAATTAAGTAAACATTAAAGTGTAAATAATTAACAACTTATACGACGTAATTATCGCCCGTACTTATGAGTTAATCACATAGTTAATTAACAAATCCTCGTGCAATCTAATTGAAAACATAAACAAATTGCATAAACAATGGAATTAAGCAGGGTAAAGTACCATAGGATTGTACTTGCTACGCGGTAAAGTGGTCCAAAATAGCAGGGAAGAAGTGGTCCAAAAATAGCAGGGCATTATTATTACTCGTATTATTATTGCTAAGGCAGAATATCTACTTCTATGATGATTCCATAATAACATAAAAATGTAACCATTAAATTCTAAACGTATAGTGCAATTTTTATCAAAAAAAAAAAAAACAAAAGAATAAGGCTAATTTGCATACATTTACTGCAAATTACAGTTGATAATCATGTGATTTCCACGTAAAATGATTGTAAAGCTTAGTGCAGTCTATAAAATACAGCAAATACTCGGTCTCGATTAATTTTCACATCTAGATCGGAAATTTTCTTTTTGGATGGTTGTGCGAAATTGCTAATGTATTAGTTTGGCATGTTTTGATACTACAATGTGAATGAACAAAATAAACAAGAAATGCAACGAGAGATTGCTCTGTTCACCTTATTTTAATTTATTTTAGGTCTAATAAGTTTAGATAAGTTCAGTTAATTTCATATTTGATAAGTTCAGGAAAAAATAAATTTTGATAAGTGTTATCCAAGTACATACAAATTACAACTAAAATACGTTTTAATAAGGTTAATAAGTTCAAATTAGTTCAGTTAAGTGAAAATGATCAGGTAAATAGAACACACCCTAAGTTGCGTGGAAATAATTCGAAATATCAGGAAAAAACCATAACAAGGAATAATTATACTTTGTAATTCACTATAGGGTGTTTTTGAGACATGGAACTTTGAAAGGCACTCAAATAATATTTGTCAATGTCACTATTTTACTAATAAGAACTGTGAGTGTGTTTTTTTTTTTTTTTTTCAAACCTAAAGAAAAAAGATATAATAACGGTTAAAATGGTGTATGCAAGACAAAAAACTTTTTAAGACAAGAGTGTCGAATGCCCCAATAGGCCTAACACTAAGCACATTCATCAAAACTGCAATCATAATTCGCAAAAAAGGACACTATTTTGCACTAGCTTAGTGTGCCGCACTATGCATCAATTGCAACATCAAGGTTATGTTGGCCTTTGCATGCATAGTCGTGCAATCTCATGCATTATCTGATTTATAGATCAACTTAACTTTAATTTCCAACAAATACCATTTTTTTTTATCACTAGAATGTAGCTAAAAAAGATAACTTGTCCCATTAGTAGGACAACATATAGTACGTATAAACCTTTCTCAAAAAGTATTTTGCTTACTACTTACACTAATATTGTTATTTTATTAAGAAGTTATTACTGATAATAGATGTTAAATCCTTACTATTCTCATTAATATCCTAATACAGTGTTATATAGCGATAAGACGGTCTCACACAAATCTTTCCTTCTTAATCATCATGGTCTAACACCAAAGTAGGTGGTGCTATATCATTAGCAACCTAAACATTATCTAATTTTTTGTTTACATCATAAACAAGGCTGTCCTCTCTAATTAATCATTGTACCTAATTCTCTAATTAATTTCTGCCTATTTAATCTTAAATTACACTTTAATTTAATTTCTCTATCCTCTAAAAATGCAGTCTTAAGCTAGCTAAAATAAAAAAAAATAAAAATAAAAAAATAAAAATCGTTAGAATCGGCGCAACTCTGCCAATATTCGCGATTAATCGTAATGGGTCATGTTGTGTGGGCCACCCAACATGTTTCGCCAACTTAATTAAATCATAAACTTAATTAGCAAAAACAGAGCACCCTTTGTTTGTGTTCTAAAGTAATTATATGATCATGTGTTAGCCCCTAAAACTATGACAATATATAAATTTAATTAAAGATAGGTTTATTTCAGTTATAAGCTCAGCTGTGAGTTTCAAGGCTTGTCTTATCTAGTCAACTTCATTATTCTACTCTAAAACTATATAATATATTTTATATATTATATAATTATACAGTGGTTGTTATATTTTAGAGTTTTACCTTGCTTGAGCTGCCTTGATTAGGAAATAGTGTAAGATTTGATTCATCATCTCTGCATATCAAGAGAAAAGGCTGTATTTTGGGTAAGACGGCTATCTATTATGCTATATATCTTGGGATATATATTTGCATTTAATTTTGAAAATGTTTCTCCATATTTAAATTATTTACAATAGCTTATATTAATTCATAAATTATGATTTTTTAACAAAAGAGTTTAATTACCAAGATTAACCAAGTATGTATTTTTTAGCGTCTCATAAGAAGTTATTGCGAATCTTTTTTACCGACTTATTTGTAATTACGTAATGTAGAGCATGCTAGCTTGTTGATAAGATAATAAGGTTGAACCAACATTATGTTGATATGCACATGGAGGACTATGCTCTTATCTCTATAGGCATGTGTGATGCACGTGCTGTCCTGGTGCCATATAGATACGATTCTCTATTTCTATGCTTCGAGTTATGCATGAATAACCTAGATTAAGGATCACAAATAACTGTATTCTCAAATACGTGGAGAATTGTTTATTTTTTATCAGCTTGGGTAATGCAAGTAAAGTTATTTTTTGACCTTAAAAACATATTAGACAAAGTTTTAAACTCTTACCTTAAAAGATAAAAACGTAGCACATACTATTACATTAAAAAGTTAATTACTATTGCTTTACAACAAGGTTAATCAGAGATTAAATTTAATTTGAAGCATGACGGCCAAGTGGTAGTACTCCCCTTAAGTAAGCTTCCTAATCACCTAATCTGGTAGTTAAAAACTTCAACAACAAGGACAATAATCAAATTATTAGATGCATAAATTAACCAAAACATTATTATATAAAAATATAATCATAGCATACAGTTAGATCATATTATATTATTGTAATATAAGGTTGGTCCTCTTATATAAGAACCCTCTCAAACCCCCAGTTTTGAAACTCTCTTCATCACCACTTTCCACATCAAAAAATTCAAAGCTCCCCCCAAAAAACACCTTCAAATAAATTTTTATTTGATCATCCAAAAATATTTAAATTTCTGATAAAAATAAAAAATGGGAAATAGTTTAAGGTGTTGTTTGGCTTGTGTACTACCTTGTGGTGCACTCGACTTGATCAGAATAGTTCATCTAAACGGGTACGTAGAAGAGATCACAAGGGCCGGCGTAACGGCCGGTGAATTTCTTCAAGAGTATCCAAACCATGTCTTAAGCAAACCTTGTTCACAAGGTAATATGGTTAGGAAAATTATGATTTTATCCTCCGATTCTGAGCTTAAACGCGGTAGCATCTATTTCTTGCTACCGGATTCTTCTTTACCTTCTAAAAACCCGAATTCATCCAAGAAAAACAAGAACAAGAGTCAAAAGTCGTCGTTGGTTATTAGTCATGATCAAAATCTCCAAGACCAGGAGCTTAGTAAGTCTAAGAATATCGATAATGACAATGATAATAAAGTATTGAGTATAGATTTATCGAAATTAGAAGGTGGTCATGAAAATATTAGCAATGAGGTAGTTTGTGAAACAAATTTGAAGATTAAATCTAAATCTGGGAAGCATCAAAGGAGAAGAAGCAGCAGGGGTAAAAGTGGTATTTGGCAACCTCATTTGGAAATTATTACTGAAGATTTGTGATTTTTTTTATTAAATATATTATATCAAAATTTTATTCTCTCTAAACTCCTTTATTTGAGATTTGCAATTATATGCAAATTGCAAAGCCTTTCTTTTTTTCCTTGTCAAAAATTTCAAGGTGTTGAGGATGGAGTTATAATTTATTGTGGATACATTACTTTACATTACATTTTGGTTTAATTTTTCACCGATTGCTTTGTAATATTGGCAGCTTCGGATTTATTATTGTACAAGTAGTTCTTAAAGAGAGCTCAAAATATTTGAGCATACCAAAAGTTGAAAAATACAGAGTAGTTCGGATTTTATTCTTGGTTTTTTTTCAGAGTTAATTAATTGCGTTTTATGTATAATGTCAGATCATTTAACTCGACCTCACTTGAACTAAATATTCAATAACTGTCTATAAATTCAATAGTAGGAACAAAATCAATTCAAGTGAAGAAATATATATTATCAGTGATAAAACATCAAACGACACCTACAGTTAATTATCATGTTTAAAATTGTTCGCGACTTTCATGTGCTTATGGTAATAATTTCAAAGTCAAATAAAGCATCTAAAAATTTTGGTGGATCTATCTTAACTTGAATGCTTTGAATCTCAGTTTTATGTCTCTTACCATTTCTCCATTGTTTTCCCTTTAAAAATATGTATATACATTATTCAACCCATGATTGGATGTTTAACGTACCCAAGGCAAAGAAGACAGCTATTTTTGCAATATAGTATTATATTCGTAATTCAATTCGGTTGTGAGTCTTGTGACAATACATTGTAACTGAAACTTTAAATGCTCATTTTAGTTTCTTACACTATTTTTTTAAGACAACATAATGTTTAATTAATTTAACAATGCAAACACACTTATTAGCCAAATTCAGCCGTTGTTGACATTAGGCATAATAATTATGCACCAACCTTAGCTGGCTTTTGATTCCCACTGCACCCAACTTTTGAGTCATATTCACTACGAGTACAATTTTAGTTTAGGTGGTTTTAAGTATTTACAAAATTATGTGCACTCAAATAAATACATTTAAGTCTCCAAATGAGTAAATTGTTGCCATGCCAAATGATATTATGAGGAGTAAAAAAAAAAGGTACAATCAAAGTTAGGTGTACTCAGTAGACTTTGTTAATCAAGGCTAAGATCATAATAATTTCTTCATTTGCAACACAAATACGAAGTATATAAAAGTGATTATTTTATGTCAGCAAATTTGGACGATATAGTTGTGGGGGTGATAGTATTCCATATGTCATATTTGATTTCGCCTACGTCATCATTCATCTTTCTTGACTTCCCATTGTTAAAAAAAAAATACATATGTAGTATGGTACAAGTGCCACTAAATACCAATTCAACAAACTGTAAGCTCATTTGGTAATAAGTTTTTTACGTTAGATTCTATAGGTTTGAAGTTCGAATCGTATCAAGTGAGGATGCTTGGGGTAGTAATTCCCTTATTCTTCCCTCTACTTCGATTTACTTGGCCCGTGAATACTAAACTAAAAAAAATCATTAGGGTTGAGGTCTAATTAGGGACCAAGTGAATGTCGTTGTGTATATTTTGTCAACATAGTCATGTTAAATATAAATTCCTCCATGAAAGCATTTGAGTTCTGTGCTAGGCCTGGGCACGAACTCTGATACTCTGTACTTGTATAGTTTTGTTTTGAAAATATTTAAGTTCTCAAATCACATGATCCAAAATTTATGTATATTCATCTCTCATATTTTTTGGGATAGTCGAAATATAAACCTTGGTAGGATCAATTAGGTGCTAATGATAGCTAGTAATTAGATGACATTAATATATACATGGATATTTTTTATGATCATCAAAATTGTTAATTACTCCGTACAGATATTACTGAGGAGATAATATAGTGGTAGATGTGTAATATAACTCAGGAGTTTGTCTTCATCATTGCTTCAAATTTTGTGTTCCATACACTACATTTCTTCCATATTATTATTATCATACTTAATAATCAAATTATAATTATTCATCAACTTGAATAATACAAAGAATGTTACTAGCATTATAATGTAATGATGCACAAAATGCACATAATACATGATACTGCCTATACATACATGTAAACGTGTGAAAGATCTATGAAATTTATCCAGCTAGCTCAAGTCATGGTGATCGAGCCCCTTGTATTTCCCTCCTGGATTGCTGTTGTATAATTGCTTGGAAGCTTAAGTGTACCTAATACCCTTGTTTGACAATCGATTAACTACATCGGGCTTGTTAATTATTTATTTTTATTTACAGGTAGTCGGTTGCAATATTACCTTCAGATTATCTTTGTTAAGGTCTTAGGATAGTACCCAAAAGTTGAGATTATTATTGTCGTCATATTCTGACTCTTTTTGTATGGGAAAGAAAAAATTATATTGATGCTTGATAAAATTAGATTGGTTGTTGGTAAATCATATACAATTAGACATGCATGCTCTAATAATTTTGCATGAATAATCACTCATCAAGCATATTTATTTTAGAAGCTGTTTGACTAGACATAAAACCCCTAATAACTAATAAGATTACTAGATAATTAATGCCATCAATTCGAAGATAAGAGATCGGATGCTAAAGTTTTGAATAATTAGTCATATGCATGGAAAGTTTGAAACAATTTTTTTTTAGGAAATGTTAGGACGGATTTTATATCAAATCGTTTTCCACCAAAGCCGAAATACCTTGGGTAAAGGGGCCCATACAAACTAATTCATAAACAATGGGTTAATATGATTGAGATGGTATTATTATTATTATTATTATTATTGCTTATAAAGTTGGAATTATTAATTAGCATAAATAATTTTAATTTCATTTTTTGAAATATATAAAATAAATACTTTATATTTTTTGGCGGGTATAAATTATATAAAATGAAGTTAAATAAAAACACAAAAAGTAGTTAAATAACGACAACTCGAAGGTATGATGTAATGCCAAACAAGCTGGCAAATCCTTTAATGGAAGTGAGTCTTCACATGGATTCAAGCTTCCAGCTTGGTCGCTCACTCTCAGTCTCTCTCCTCCACATAATTTCATAAATAATAATATATAATGTTTTGGCAATCATTTATTTATATATATCTACTATATCTTCATTCCCTAAAGCACAACTACGAAAGGTTTATTGCTTTTACCACTTTTACAGATCATATACAAGTATATGTTCACTTGTCAAAACTTGTTAAATCAACTATGTCAACTATAATTAATTAAAGGGGATGGACTAATAGAGTAAATTAAATCCGCTCTATGAAATACACATCATGTTGCATTTAAGGTTTACGGATCAGATTAGCATATAAAACAAATACATACATAAGAAGGATAAAAATTAGCGATTTATCGTCTACGATTACCTTAGCTTAATGTAATGGAATTTTTTTTTCCTATATTTGGAAATAACTTTCGACTAAAAGACAACGAGATGTAAATTGCTTGAAGGTTATTAAGATGTTGCATTTTACAAAGCATTTGAATTTTGTGCATTGGTGCAAACTTTTTTAAAATTGAAAAGTAATTATATTATAAGTTTCAATTGACATGATCCAAAATTCATGCGAATTCTTCAATTTTTGACTTATTTTAAATACGGAATAAAGGAAACGATATAATGTCAGCAAAAATTATTGAGTAATAGGTTTTAACGAAAAATAAGTTCACCTCGATTAGTAAGATTTAACACATCTAAGTTTAGCAAATATACGTGAAGCTCTAGAATAATACAAGTATATTATTTCACACTTCCTTCCATATCATATAATTACCTCAATGGATTACAGAATATTTAAAAAACAAAATTCCAAATAAATTAAAAAGAAGAAGGCAACAAATTAGCTTAGAAACTTTACCAAAGCAACAAATTAATTAGCTTACAATTAACATTTACCTCTACGTACAAGACTACAAAGTTGAAATAGATGATCTCTCGATGACAATCTAGGGTTGAGTATATAGAGAATGTGGATTAATCTTCAAGAAAATAAAGTTATGAAGAGTTTGTCATGAAGAGTTTACTCGTATTAACTTCTACACGTAATTTTCATGTTTAGACCTAAGAATATACTCTGTACTAACCAAACCGCGGTGTAATGATTAATATATAAAAAGTATCATCAGCTCATACCAAAAACTTTGATACATATGTATGTACAAGTATCAAAAAAAAAAAAAAAACAAACTATTTGTAGCCTTTTGATAACCATTGCTTTTGTCGTTGCAACACTAAAATTGATGTCTTGCCAGGAAAATCTGGCGCGGCGAGGATGTCTCCAAGGATACCAAGTTCTTGTACTTCACTCCATTGTTGTAAACCAGAAAGTTGAGGACTTTCTGGATTGTGTGATCTTCCTACGATGATAAGGTCAAAGTCTTCTGCAATAGACCTCAACATTTTTGCTGTTTGTGAGCCATCATGGACTACTTGCTCTGAGTAGTTAAATTGTTGTTTGATCTCTTTGTACTGTTGGATATCCGAAATTGTTGTGGAATCAAGCTCGCTAAGCTCGGTCTCACCTTCAGAAGTAACTAGTCGGATGACAAGCACCCATACCTTTGGTCCAGAGGCCATGCGCTTAGCATATGCTACCGCCTCTTGATCATCTGCTCCTCCTATGAAAATCACTGCTGCTGAGAACTGATTTTGCTCTGATTGCGATTGCACAACTACTGAGGTCATGTTTAAGGAATCAACTGTAGGGAGCTTCAATGTTCCTTTGTTAATGAAGATCCCTACAGAGCATGGGGCTCGTTCGAGCATGCTGTTGTTAAGGGTTCTCTGTCCATAATCCTCAAAGTCGACGGCTCCATCGAGAGTACTTAGCTTTCTATGGAAGGGTAAGATGATAAGTGATGCTAAATTGTTAAGTGCGAGTGTGCATATATCATCATGCATTGCTTTAGGTGGGGTGACTGCTGTAAAGAAGTGTATAAAGAGGTCTTCCATGTTAGCTCTTTGAATCAATGAGTTAAAAGCTGAAATCATATCTTCAGAGTAAGACATGTTTTCTGATGAATTTCCCTCCTGTAAGTCATGAGACATAAATATGGGCTGTGCTCTTCCGACTAGCTTTATAAGGTGTAAAACATCTACAATCACGTTGTTCGTGGCTTGGTTAGAAAGAGTGAGCAGATGAATGAATGCAGGTACATCATCTGGTTTTGAAATGCAAGTAAGGATGCGGAGATGAGCTTCAAGGTTGCAACTCACAATATCTCTGTTCTGATATCCTGCATACTTCCTTAGAGGTTGATAAAGGCACTTAACTATGATCGGTACAACAATTGCAACAATTATTGTGACA